AAAAATCGATGCAGAGTAATTAATTGAACATGTAATAAGTCTCACCCATTACAGAAATCAACTTTCCCCTACTTAACAGCATTAATATCGATCGAACATTTAAAAATTTTAGAACAGAACTCTATAAAAAAAATAATTTGATATATAAAATAATGTCGTCAATGAAGAAAAACGACTGATTATTTAAAAATAATGTTACGCGATCTTTTTCATTGTCAAGATCACATGATATTGACCGTTAGATCAAGTTCAGATCATGTGATTATATATATAATGTGGCTAATTTCAACCTTAACACTAATCACACAAGTTTAACTTACCTAATCTAATGTCACGCCACAAGGTGAGGAAGAAGTCTGTGATAAAATATTGTGAGTGACAAATAGGATTTCACACCCAAAAAAAGCTAAGTTCCCGCTTAAATAGTAAAAAAAATGAAACATGGTGGTGACGGATCGATACTGTAGTACATATGTTACACATTCGCAAATTTGTATTAATGTGCATGACAAAGTAAGAAAGTAAGATAAGTAAATTTTTTGTCAAAAATATAAATAAAATAGATAAGTTATAAAAAAGCTCGTATATGAAAATGTCGAAACCAAAGAAAAAAAAACAGAAAAATCGGGACAATATAAAGATCGTTGTTCGATTGATCCTATAAAAAATAACAAAATAACAAAAGAAAAGGAAAAATAAAATCTCCTTACCATTCCTCCAACTTGAAAAAGGAATTTAAGAAGAAAATTATATTTAATCGTCTTAATCAACAAAGTAAAAAGAAAAGATTATCAACGTAAATTTTAAAAAAAATAAAAAAAAAAAAATAAATCATCGTTTCGGTACCAGGAAAAATAATAATAATAATAATAAAGAATGTTAAATTGCCTCATTATTAAAGGAACTTATCTTAAATTACTAGAAAAAACTGCTCTTAAAGAAATTTTGAAATCTAGATAAATAATAATTTATTTCTTGGATAAATTTTTTTTTTGATAAATAAATTTTTTAAATAAAATCGATTAGCTCGAGAAACGACGAATCATTATTCGAGATTGGACTTGACTCTTAAGTCATTTCTGACTCGAGTTATTATATATTTGGTTCGAGTAATTTGAGTTTTTATTGGAATATTAACTCATTAATAAAAATTGGCAGAACACATACTACTAAAATTTGCTGGGCATTAGTTAAAGATAATAATTTCAATGATCTTATTTTTTAAAGAAACTTTTTCCAATAAAAATTTGTAATGACTAATAAAAAACTTCTTAAACAAATTGAATAAATTGTTACATTAATTTATAAAATATGCAAAATATAGCAGTTGAAACTATAAATTAAAATTTTAATTAATAACCTTTAAATTCTAAATGAGAAGCCGTGTATAAACTTCATTCCCTTAACCTTTAATGATTTATATTCCAAGTGAAATGAAGAAGGACTGCTATTAGGATCATTCTGGTCAGATTTTTGCTTTATTTTATGTTTATTGCATTAATTCTTTTAAATATTAAGCGCGAATAATTTCTAAACATATTTAATGGGCTTTTGAACTGAAATTTATTCTTTGGCGATTTATTTATCAAATAAAGAAACGCAGCTAATTTTTATATATATTGTTAGTTTTTAAATCTATATCCACTTGAGATAGCACCATAATTGACTCGAGTTATAGTCATATGCACTCGAATTGACATATGTGTCGGGTTTATTCGAGATAATCGAGTTTTTGACTCAGGTGCTGTACGGGTCATAAAAATCAAACTCGACTTGATTCGAGAGTAAGAATGAGTTGACTTGAGTCCAACCATTAATGATTAATCGATTCTACTTTTTTAAATAGATGTCAAATCCATAATAGGTTGATCATCGAATTATTTTTTTTTTAAAAAAAAAAATTAAGCGTTAGTTTCAGAACAACGCTAGTAATTATTAATGCGATTAATTGAATTAAAATCTACTTAATATTTATTATGTTACGATACAATATGCGCGATAAAATAGTTACTCAACATTATGTGGCTTCCTTTCTGCGGCACTTCGTGCTGAGGAACTATTCTATTACATATTTTCCAAACTTTTCAAAAATTTTGTTTAGCGATACTTAACCATATTCGTGAATTATGATTTTAAAATCTTTAAACAATTTACATGCATAATATTTTTGGCTTATTAGAAAGTTTTTTTTACAAAATATAATAATTTAATTCTTTTGCGTTAACAATTTAGCAAAGTATTTCTTTAAAAACTTTTAAAAAAATATATTATTTATGGTTTGATTTACTCCTTTATTAAGTACTTTAGTAGCGCAGCATTCTCGTTAACTTGAAATTTTATTATTTAAATATATAATAATATAAAAATGGTATATCTAGACAATCTTAAATTGCCAATCCTTTAGGCATTAAATAGGTTTAGAACGATAATTCATAAACCTTTGTTATTTTTAGTAAAAAAAATAAATATAATACATTATGTACTTTATTATGTGAAATTTGCAAAATTCACTTTTGTTGCACCGTTTTTTTAGCTTCAATCAAAGAAACTTTGCAGAAACCTATGATTGGATAATATGCGGCTACTTCTAAAGAAAAAGCATTTTCGAAGTTGTGATTCTTATATATTTTTACTTTGTTATATTTTTTTTTTAAATTTTGTTTTTTTAATTTTTCTTCGTTATCTGTTATATTTTTATTATATATATATATATTTATTTATTTTTATTTTTTCTAATGTAATTTTGCGATTGTAATAAAACAACGACTATTATAAATAAAATTCGATATAAATAAAAAGTTTCGATATAAAAAAAAAATTCTGGCTATTATGCTATTATTATAATAAAACTGATATAAAACTATATTTGTAATGAAATCAAAATTACAATAACGCTAGAGAATTTCCTACTGTTTCGGGATCGAACCGCTATATTCTTTGTTATCTTATCCAAAGATTTCGTTATATCGGTATTCCTTGAATCATAATTTACAATAAATTTCTTTTGAACGAATCTTCGCAAAGTACGCAAAGAATTCTGAGCTTTTAATTCCGTCATTTTCATTCTGCTTAACCATCTATACAGACTCTTGTTATCAAATCTTTATCGACGAATGACATGACGTCTGATTCCTATAAAGGAACATATACATTTTCTCTGTAAATAAAAAGAAATAAACGAAAAATAATTAATATACAGTAGCAAAACTCAAGAATTAAACGAAATAATCCGCTTACTGAACCCTTTTTTCTTTGAATTCATCAATTACCTCCTTAACAATGTCTAGAAATTTTTTGCAGGAATCTCCAAAATTCCTATTTGCTGTGCGTAACCAATTGATTCCTTCCGTCGAATTTAGATCATAATTAAAGACTTGTCATACTAAATCCTCAAAAGCGCTCTTATTGGATTTTGAATTTGAAGAAACAAGCATTTTAATTCTTCAAAAAAATCCCAATTAACTTTCGTCTGTAATATACAACAGTTAGTATATAAATATTATAAAACAAGGTAAAGTAAAAGAAATTAAAACCTTGTCTTCTTGATTTGGTACATGTGATACATCAGTTGTTAATGTTGATAGCGAGATATGAATCCGTTTGCAACTGGTGTTTGCGTCGATAGATACATGTTGTGAGCAATAATTAAATGTCCGGGTTTTTACATAACCACGAACATATTTGATAAATATTCGTCATTTTGCTAAATTGTTCTGGAGCTACATCATCATTAGCATCAAAACTCGTATGTGCGCGTGAGGTAGGATGAGATGTAGTTTGGTGAGAAAGACTAAGTTTATCATCAGCATCATCATCATCAAAGCTCGTATATGCGCTTGAGATAGGACAAGGTGTATTTTGGCGAGGAAGACGAAGCTCATCATCATCATCGAATTTCGTAGCGAGTTTGACAAGGAGTATTTCTATTATCATTATTTGTTATCGACGCGAGAGGCTTGCATCCAGTATTTACACAAAAAAAATATTATTATCACTTAATTCTAAAAGTTTGTTGATCGAGATCGATCAGCAGTATCTTTTTCAACAACTGGTTGTTCTTGATCATTTACAGGTTCCTTTTGAAGACGAACCGTTTCTTGATCATCATTCTTCATCATTATTAGCTTTGTCGTCATCATCTTATTTATCATCGAATTCGATGATGGATTCCTTTTGATACTTTTGCTTACTCACAGGGTCTTTTTTCTGACGACGTTTATTAGGAACTGCCACCACTATTTTTCAGACATCATCTTTGACAGGCTTCTCGTTCTTCTTTGGACGATCTCGTTCTTTGCAGGGGGTTTGACCGCTTTAAATTTCTCCTTTGGAACTAAAAAAAAACTTAAGAAACCAATTCAGTATTATAATTTTAAAGCAAAAAGTTATTACCTAAAGGTTCATTAGCTTGTCATTATTAGTAAGCGAGGTATTTTTCTTTTGATTTCAGGTAGTACTTCTTGGTGCTATAATAACGATTTGATGATAAGAAAAATGATAGAGGTTGGAACCGGTTAATTTTTAACCGGTTAATTAACCGTGTAAGACGTTTATCTTGTTAACCGGATAAAGATTTTTTTAACCGGCACTATAAATTTGTGCAAATTTTGTAATTTTTGTAATTGCAAAAAAATTTTAATTCTGCTTGAAAATTAAATTTTGGCCAGAGTTAACATTAGTTATTTTAACCGGCCTGAGTTAAATTTTACCGGTTAATTAACCGGTTAAAGAAATTTTTAACCGGTTATTAACCGGTTAAGGATTTTTGGGCTAGTTCCAACCACTAAAAAATGATAAGGTTCGCAAGAGAGTTTAAAACTTTTCAAATGATAAATAAATCTTGAATTTATTTTAGTTTATTTATAGTTATACAATCAAACTTTTTATAATATTGTTTTAACGCAACTCAATAAAGCAATTTATAACTTTATATAGCTAATACAATAAATAAATTAGACTTTTTAATATCTATATTAACGTAAATAGAACAAAATAAATATAACAAAAAAGTTTTGAGTTTAATGGGTTATTCTTTCTCTGAAATATACTTTTTTCCTTCTTTGTGACACATTATCTGTTTAAGTCTAAGTACCAATTAATCAAATAACAAATAATTATTATATAATTATGTACCATAAATGGTTAAACATGGTTGTATTTTGTACATATAAAGCTGTTCTATATAAAAAGGAAAATTTTGATTTATTAAAACTTATAAAAATTTTCTCACAAGTTTTAAAAAATGTTTTGAACTTGATATGCTTCTAACAAAGTAGTTAATTTAGACAACGATACAACACATTTAATATATCTTCGATGCTAAATATGGTTGCCATTAAAATTATCATAATATGGATATTTATAATAAAGATGACACCCGTCATTGATATAGAAGTGGAAGAGAGTAATGACAACAATATAGAAACAGAAGAAGTAAGCGAAGAACTTGCTACAAATGATGATGAAGTAAGCAAAGATAATATAGAACTCAAAAATAAATACTCTGAAAGAGTTATGACAGAGTTTGAAAAAGAAACGAAAATGAAGGTGATTTATAGAAGATAAATATGATAATGAAGAAATAAGCGAAGAGGATTCAGATGAAGAAGAAATCATCATTAAATCTTTCAGTAGTGAAGAAATGCTACGAACCTTTGGCGAGTTCGCATCATACTTCAAGAATATTATTAAATCGCTGTTTTTTTGCTAAGTGCAATAACATCATATATGTAAGTTAGATTCTTATAAAACTTTAAATGATATTAAACACAACTTAGTTTCTTTGTCAACTACAAAAGCATATGATGATCTAGTAGATATTATTTATTATCCACAGTTCAAAACTGAAGACATTGTAATAAACGTTCGCCGATTAGGAAGTTTTGACAAAGATGTCCTTTACTTCTAATAAAATCTCATCAAATTAACATTTCTAGCAAGAAAATGCCATCGATACTTAAAACATTAGAGAAGTGTATTATTTGTCTATTAATGACATTTTTTGTTACATTTTAAAACAACCCATTATTATTTATCAAGACATACTTCGGACTAGGTGAAGAAGTTGAAAAAAATAAAGTATTCTGGCATGAGAAATCTGAAAAGAGTTAGCAAGATTTGGATAGGGTCTATTATTGCTTAAAATGTACTGTATTATACTGAAAACTTCATAATATATAAGGAATCAAATGGAATGAAAAGATTTGGTTGTATCTTAGCAAACGTTGAAGCTGTGATTTGTAATTGCGACAATCATCTAATTTAGTTGACAAATATGACAGATTGGTCATATTTGACTGATGATCTATATTTATTATATTTATAATATTTGTTAACTTTATT